TAGTACATCTGCAAAGACATAGACCCTAAATGAATGACGCGTAAACTTTAGAAATGCCATGCGTTGTTGTGTTTCAAACGTCAGCAAATTCTGCACTTCAAGATGGCCATTGTGCGACGAAAAAATGCAAGAAGTGAATTGTGCATGGCTCCAAACGTCAGCCGTATTTGAAAAGAGAGGGAGAGCGATCAGACAGGCTTACTACCGTTGGGAAGCAGCCGGTAGACCGGCACAAGGCAAACAACGACGCGCTGATGAAGGTAGCAAATATTTGCACAGCTCGACTCTGACCGAAGCATCGGCGGCCGTCGCTCGTCCGAAGTGTCCTCGTCCGAAAGAAGCCTCGACGGTGAGGTCTCGTCGTAGCCAGTCACGAGCCTCGCATTCCGCCATGACTCGTGGGGCAGATCAGGAACCATCACATCGACCGACCGACCGACCGGCATGACTGCAAAGTTCGCCGCGGTAAGCGGAAGAGCAAATCAACCACGAAAGATTCGCTGCTACCGGACCGCTCAGAGCCTCATCGCTAAATCGAGGCTAACGTCTGAACGGACATTTTTTGTCTCGAACTTGAAATACTAGTCGACGTGTCCCCTACTGTGTTGCATAGTACAGTATGCTCGCGTTTATGCATCATATGTGCATATAACGCACAACTACTTCAACACATGGCAGGGTTAATAGCGCATTTCACAACCCTTTGAGCCGAACTGCCTTGTGGGGGGGAGTGCAATTAAGCAAGCCACGGTTGCATAATATTTCAGTACTTGCAGTGCCTGATGCATCTCGAATCACTTTCTTTGCCAGAGCCATCTTCACATATGACTAGTTCAAGGGACGGCTACGACAGCTGTGCTAACAGAAACATCGTGCGTTCTATATTCTTATACGTGTATGATGGTACAAGAAAGTGTAAGCTGTAATGCGTATCATGCAACACGCATTTACCTGCCCAGACATGATCGAAACTATACATATACCATGTGATACGGATAAATGCAATGACTAACATGATTCTATGCTCAAGCACAACGGAGAGAAAGTAGCATAGAAGAGTACCTAATGTCAAACGATAATATCACCACGATGAATGCAAACTTTAGCACCGTCACAGAACTATCAAGGTTATGATAACAGCTCAATAAATGAGAATAGTACAGTAATCACAACCGAAAGCTGTGTGACAAGGCATTCACATAAAACAGCAAACTCTGGCCAAGCTGAAAGATGAACTAGGAGCAAGGACTATTAATCATATACTAATGAATGCGATTGCCAAGAGTTTCTACGACAACCTTGAGTCCTTTACAGTTCGAATATTTCCACGCATTGAAGTGTCACCTGAGACAAAAATGAATG